TCGCCGGGGCTGTGGGCCAGAGGGTAGCCCCCCTAGCCCGTGCGCTGTCGCGCCCCCGACCGTTTTGGAGGGGCGGGAAAGACTCAACCACACTACCGAGGCAACTAATCGAGCAGCACGAAAGCGCACTACAACAATGGCAGTAGCAAACAGGCTGAAGACGTACTCGGTAGTTGCCTTTCCGGAAGTTCTCGCCTCTCTCTCTCTCTTTCTCTCTCTCTCCGTCTTGCCGTCCCTCCTTCTTCGTTCCCTCCGGTGGCTTAAAGGAGAGGGAGACCACGCCGTCGCGCGAGAACTCTCTGCTTCACAACAGGTCTGAAAGACCCCTCTCTCAACCCGTTTACCCGTGCGCGAGGTCTTGGCCGGGCCCCACTTGCCCCCACCCATACATGGAAAGGACCGGGTTTTCGCAAGTCGACATTCAACATTCAATCCCAAAGCCCTCAGCCCTTTACATGACTGGACAATGGGAACATCGCTCTTCCGCTGCTTGTGTGCAGAATCGGCACATCCATCGCACGAGACAGACCAACTCTGTGCAAGGTCTGGCGACGGTCGCCACTAGAGATGAGACAGGCTTGAAAGGAGCCAATCCATGTTTAGCTTTCTGTGGCAAACTTCCAGGAAGTGGGTCTAGCAACCGAAACTCCCCAGCAGGGTCGGTGGGGATGATTCCACGATCCCAATCAAGCCTGACTGCCGCCATCGCAAGCAAGGAAAAACACCCGACACTCCTCGGCAACCAAGCCACTTGGCCTATCTCCTGCTGCCAGGTCTGGGCCATTCAGATCATTCAGCGCCAACAACTCATCCATGTCCCGGATGCCCACCACTTGCGCATGACCTCAGCTACGTCGATTCAAACACTCACAACTGGGAAAAGCCTGACGAGTTTACGGCCAGTCCTTGCAAACCTGAAGCTGTCTCTTGCTTCATGCTGAGGTCTTGGCCAACTGCATCCTCGAGTAGCAATGAAGGCTGAGACTTCTCCACCGCACAGTGGGCTGACAGGACGAGGACCCGAGGGGCCGGTGAGGAACGCTCCGTCCTGCGCAGCAACTTTGGCAAGAGAGCCGAGCTTAGAAAGTCCGGAAGCCACATGGAAATGTTCAGGTCCAGGTTTGCCTTTGGAGCTGTCATGGTTGGGCGGGACCCGATCGGTTGCTAGCGACCTACGAAACGCAGCATCACATTCAGTGTATCTGGCTGGCTTACTTCATGTCGGGTCCTCCAAACTTCTGCCAAAGTTTCGGTGGTGGCAGTGCGAACCTCTGTGTGTAACGACATACGTACATGCACAAGCTGCAGCCCTTGCGAGATGACTGCTTGCCGAGACAAGCTGCTGAGAGGCACTCCACACCAGGCATTGTAGCCAGAGCTTCAATTTCACTTCGGATGTCCAGCGGCGCCACATCCAGAGGAGACGCATACAGGTAGTCGAGCTGGAGCCCTGCCGCCTCGCACTGTGCTCGGCCACAGGCACTCCCCAGCGCTAGTGCCTGTGCAGTTCGGGGCGCCTTCGGCGGCACTGGGCCCATTTCTCCGGGCTTGATCGGGTCTCTGTCAATCCTGCAGCAGATGCACAGTCACACGGTCAAATCCGTTAAGCCGTGCATAGCCTAATAGCACTCGGGAAACTTTGCATATGCATGGTTGTCAAAAGAGAATTTTGCTACCAAGCCTCCTCTTGTCGCTTTCTTCTGGCTTGCCGACACCGCGCGGAGACCCTGAGCCTGGCCTTGTGCAGGCGAGCGTTCAATCGCTGAGAAGCGCAACTGCTCCCTCGCTCCCTGTCACTTGCGGACACGAGTTATTCGGCAGGACAGGTGCTTCGATCCGGAAGCCAAATTTACCCGCTGCAGCTACGAACAAACAACCTCGAGCACAAAGACATCCTCTCTCACCGCGGCACTGCTGGCGTTGCAGAAGATGTTGTCGCCAGTCAAGGAGCCAAGAAGGTAAGTCCTCAATAATGTCACCTAGGCTCTGAGTCAAGCCACTTAGACGGTCGATTTGCCGACCATGACGGACCCTTGCAATGTGAGTGCGATTCACAAGTCCCGAGGCGCCGGATTTGGGGCAAACCGCAAGGTCTTCATCTCGAAGCACACTGTGCAGGTCAAGGACCTAGGAGCTTTTCAGGCAAAGCACCCGAAGTTAACAACATGAAGATGTTCAGTGATCTGCTTGCGATGACATGCTGCATGTGTGTGTCCTGCCGTGCAGGAGGGGCATCGGATGCCGGCGCGAAAGCTTATCCTGCGCAGGCTGTAAACTGAAAAGTGAAACGGCCTAGTGCATCCTCAGTAGTGGCGAGTCCTTGGCATCCACGCTGTGATTGCCTCTCGGAAGTTGTGAAGCAATCGCTCCTTGGTGAAAGCACGCTAGGAGCCGCTTGCATGCCGTGCCATTGATAACCCTCGCAATCCCAGGAAAGCGAAGCATGGCAAGCAAAAATAAGACCAGTAAGCCAAAGCGAGATTTCGGCAATGGTAAGCAAGGCAAAGGTGGGAGGGCCAAACAAAGCCATGCTTGCGCTGCCGGGATTCTACGTGCCGCCACGAATGCCGTGCTTGTGCCTCAACACAAAGAACACATTAAGCCAGGTGTTTCCGCCATGAGTCTCCTACCCATCCGCCTCAGAGCGCCGTGGGCGTAAGGAGCACCGCAACAGATCACCCCAAGGCCTCGCCCGCACAGCTCACATGGGCCCCAAGATCATCTGGATGTATGTGTTGCACACGTGGTGCTGAGATTGCCCTGATAGTGCATCGAGAGCGCTGGACAGACACCAACAGGAGCCTTACAGCATTCCATGGTATGCACAAGCGCTCGAACATGTCGACCTGAAAGGAGAGATCTGGTGAAGACCGGCGACTCCCTGGGACGCCAGTGCCCGGAGTATCGCAGAGAGTCGCCCTGAGCTTGGCCCTGTGTGGAGACTGCGAAAGTCGCCTCGATGCAAGAAGCGAAGCGAGGCAAGGCCGCAAGGTGCAAGTTTCAGAGAACGGGATCAGGGAGCAAAACATCTTTTCAAGTTGCGAAGTTCGCGTACATTGACAAGATCTGCACTCCAGACTCGACTTTGCTCAAACTGCAAAGCCTCAGATGATCGAGCACCAGGGCGATATTACCGCATTTTCAATGCTTTGCAGTTGGCGCACAATCGCGGGATCAGTGTCGGCAGAAGGCGACGGAGGAGGCCATGGAAGTCCAAGTACAGCACGCAGGCGTCCTGGTCATCCCCTTCGCGCTCGCGCAGCGGCCGCAGAGGAAGCTGCGAGGGCACCAGAAAGACATTCTGCCTCAGCCATTGCGAAGTGGACTGCAAGCTACTGCAATCTCTGCCGTATCGCCAAGTGGCCGCTGCAGTGGGCTCTGCTTGTCGTGCCCCCAAGATAGAAGCAAATCCAGAGCCTGCCGAGCCGGACAGTCCCCAGTCCCAGCCTCCCAGCCCCGCACCGCCGCAAGGAGACCATAGGACCCACTCTTTGCACGAACACTCTCCGCAAGCTTGCGCGATGTTTGCCTTTTGGTTAGTTTAACAAGTGCCCGCCTGAAGAAGCCCGACCAATTCGCCTTGATATTTGGCGAAATGCTTTGCACGCCACACTGTCGCCAGGAGCTGGGCGTGGAGCAGCCCTGCTGTTCACACTGCAAACATCCGCCACTGCAGCGCAACCCTCCAGGTCCCAAAGCCAGTCGCGACATCGACAAGCCCTTGCACTTGCACCTTTCTCCTTCAGCTCTGCCACTTGGTTGACACAGCCTTGGAAGACCTTGTCCTTCGCTGTGAGCACCTTTCCGCAGCTGAGGAAACACTTGTCCGACGAGGCTTCTGTTGCTTGCGACAGTCGTTTGCCGAGATACAGCGGCTGCCGCATCGCCAACCCATCCGGGCTTCAGGCAAATTAAATCTCCTCGTGGCATCATGTGGCCACTCTGGCTTGTGAGCAGAGACGTGTCAAAACGTGTGCTGTCCCATACGACCTGTACATGGACAAGATGCTCAGCTCTTCAAAGACCGACTCCGGGAAGTGAAGCAAAGCGCCAAGTCCGTGAAAATGGCGCAAGAAGTTTTGCCTACAGCAGTCTGTGCATCGAGTTCTCTCTCTAGCAGCAGAGCTGGACGTTGTATGTCTTCGCTGACCCAGGGGCAGTTCCGCCCGCGACTCGAAGCCGTATCGCTTGCAACGCTGCCACAAGTCTTCCACCTTGGCGGAGATCAAGGGTCGCAACGGAACACCCTGGGGCTGAAAGAGGTTGCAGGCGGGGTGTTTTAGCTCCGACACGCGTGTCAGCGGGCCCAGGTTGCCGCTGCCTCCGGTCCGCTGCAGCACCGCCCAGAAGTGGCTCCAGCGAAGGGGCACCGCCGTGCTCAGCGGTCCTTTGGCAGAAAGGGCACTAGGCCCACTAGGCACCCCGAAGTTTTGTTTACAACGGATCCAACCAGCACTTGCTCCTTGAAGCAGTTTGGCGACCATGCTCTCGATGGCTTCGCGAAGATCGCAAATGGATCCTCAACTGAAGCTTGCAATGGAGGCAATGCACAGGTAACGGACATCTGCCGAGTCGCTTCCACTGTCGGTGGTGGCGTTGTCAACTGGGAAGAAGCAGAGCTGGCTCTGCTCATTGATCTGTAGTTGCCTGCAACTTCCCCAACTGCTCCCGACAGCCATGAAGCTCCATCGTTCGTCCGAGGCAGATGCTCATTGAGCTCGGGCAGCTTCGTGCAGAAAGCTGATATGCGCTCATTGACTTCTGCATACACTGTCCGCCGGGAGTCTTGCGAAAGACCTCACAATCTCAGTGCCACAGTGTCTCCAGTCAGCGAAACCACGCATGACTGACTGCGAGAATTTGCCTCATCGCTTGGACTGGGCCCGGCACAGTCGTCGTGCGTGCCAACGATGGCCACAGGCGAGTTCGGGGCATGGACTGCAATAGAAGCCAGCCACCACTCCAGAGCTTGCCACGTGTCGGAAGCCTCTGACTCCTTCGCTTCTTCGACGCCCATCGCATTGAAGGCAGAAAGATCTATACAAGCCAAGTATATGCCATAATCCTTGGCTGGGACATCAAACAGAACTAGTCAAAACAGTGGCAATGTACATCGTATCGAAGCTGCCCAGCAGCACTCAGAAACAGATGGTGCATGGCGTAGTATACTTCCTGTCCGCCAAAATCGTAAGCCTCACAGGCGCTTTTGGAAGATTGGCGGGGAAAACCCTGCTGTCGCCCGGAACAAAATGTTGGCCATGAATTCTGCAAACCCTGATCGCCCTGCTAGGCTTGCTAGCTGACCCCTTGCGTTGCCTCCAACACGACCGTTTTGTCCTGATGCGAAGACATGCTGTGCACATCGAGTCGAGATGCTCAAATTCTCCTTCCGCTAAGTGCAAGACGACCTCAATCTGCCAGGCATGCGTATGCTCCAAACGAAGTTATAGGCTCACACTGTGCACGTGAGTTGCATGTCGACTTTGAACACCGTCCTCGTGAGAGGTGTTCAAGTTGGCTGCGGTCTCTCCGAGCCGCCTGCCGGATTAGCACTGACCATTGACACCAAGGAGCAGGTCTGAGCAACTTCTTTGGACTTTTTTTGCCCGCCTTGCAATCAAATCCACCGGCATTCGCTTCATGACGGCTTTCTCATCCAAGGATTCCTGCTTTCCTGGCAATACTGCAGTCTTTGTGCATGGGACCCGCTCATCGCCCTGACAGATCTCCAGCCCAGGTGCCCATCTTCGCCGCATTGGGCGGAACGGCATTGCCAGGTGGGCGAACGAGGTCTGCCACATACCTGCATATGCCAATTCTGGTACGGGTGCAAGGCAAAACCACAGCCAGAACCGTCAATGCTCTTTCTCGACTTTCTCGGGCTCAAGATGTCTCCAGTGCCAAAGTGCTTCGCGACACCACGATCCCAGCGTGAGCTGCTCGCCGCTGTCTGCGCATCCTGACACGAAGCGAAGTGCATACCCGCCTCGCAAATCTGCCAGCTGGCACTAAACTGTCCTGCAGCTGCCAGCGTTGCCCTGGAGCTGCAGAGATCAGGTCCTGCCGTGCGTTGGTTCTTCGCGGCGAATGCAGTGAAGGGCGCGGCTCGGGCTCGGGAGTGTTCTAGATTCTAGAGGAAGCTCGGAGCTTGTTCGAGACTCGAACTGCGACCTGATCGGAGCCTTCCCCCTTCTCTATCGCCCCCAAAGATAACTCAAACACCTGACATGGCCTGAAAACGGACAGCATCGTCTCGCTTTCGTGATCCTTCTGAAAACTTCTGGAAAGATCCCGTAGCTTGCCATGGCATCCCGTCGTGAAGCTCGGGTTTACATTTTGCATTGGTTTCCAGTCGAGGTCGCCTCCCGAGATGACCCGAGCTGTTCTGGCGATCTGGAGATGTGCAGAAGCGAGCTCCTGCGAGAGTGCCCAACAAGCCAGGCCGTGCGTGCTCTCCTGATCGCGCCTCACATTCAAGCGTTGCTCGAAGGGTTCCACATGGTTTCACTCACTAGATGCACAGGCCCTGCCTCAGAGGCAGGCCCGCCAAGGCTTGCAAAGTCGAAGTCTTCCCAGCGCGTGCAGGGCCAACAAACCCCAGCTTTGCGCACCGCGGATGATGGGTTCCTCAGAATAAAACTCCCAAAACTGCATGCAAACATGACTCAGCCGTCTTGTAGCTATAAAGCAAAGTGCACGTATCGGGCGACCACCGTCCTACCACCCGACCATGGAAACCAGCACGACCCGCCTTGGAGAAGAGCTCTTCGGAAGGCATCCTTGGCGTCGTCCCCAAGTGCTGTGGCCAAATGGCGAGCTGCGCCTCGTGCACTCCGAAACTTCTCCAGCTTGCCTGAGCGGAGCAAGGCGGGCTCTCAGAAAAAGCCCATGCCAAAGCTGCCAAAGCTGCTAAAGCTGCTGTTGCGAATCTGCGGTTTGCACTCATCAGGCGCCGCGCTCTCACGTTATGGCAGAGCAGGGAGCCGCAGCTTTTCTAATCCGTGCAGAGTCACGTCTGACAGAGTCTGACAGCTTTACACCACTAACGCTGACATCACGGTTTCGAACTGTACATCGGAGTTGGGAGCAGCGCCAGGGGGAATGCAGCTTTGGCACACGGCTACGCGGCTACTTACCCTACTCATCGCAAGCTGTGCAAGCCTCCACGAATGCCTCTTCGGCAGCACTCAGATTACCGAAGATCTCGAACTGCAGCGGAAACCAAGAGGCCAAAATGGAGTCGTCTACTTCCTCCGTGCCGCGGGGATGCAGCTCAAATCTACCACAACATATCGGTTAACCCTGGCACCACAGACAGGCTGTAGCTAGCCGGAACTTGCTCTGAGAAGCTGAGCTGTGCAGATTGTGTGCGAGAAATACTGCATGTAGCTAACCGCTTAAACAATCGCCCGAAGCCACTGCCTTGCAATTAAAACCGGCCAAAGGCCACCAGGAGAAGCCCAGAAAAGCACATGCGAGAAACAGAAGCACCACCCAAGACGCCTTGCCAACCACAGTGGCTAACGCATCCAGAAGTGGTGCTCGAGCTGCTGCGGTCAGGTGCCCTAATTCAAAATCCTCCTCCCACACTGGCGAATGGTTGTCCTGCCCAGTGTCACACGCGTTTCAACTGCGACCACCTTGACAGCTTTTGGCACGCAAGTCCTTGATGACAGTGCTGCAATGGGCAGGTGTACGCAGAAGGCTGTGCATCAGTCCGTGGCCCAAGTTCTTGCGAACGAAAGATGCCGGTGCACCGAGTGCAGAAATCTCCACGAATGGATCAGAAGGGCTGGCAACGTCACCTTGCGGAACACGTGCAACTGCGGGAATGTAAAGCCAATACGTCTTTGTGCAATCAAGACACATCTTGGGATATTCTTTGCCTCGTGCAGGCACACGCCCAAACCTTCAGGCAGAACAGCAAACCGCAGCATGCTGCCTGGGACTTGTTTGGGCAGCAAGGCAGCAAACAGCGACCCTCCTCCACACAGCCGCGACGTACTCGGTAGGTTGAGTGGCTTGAAGGACACTTTCACGGACGTCTCTCCCTGCATCGTGCCAGTGGCCACCCAAGAACCAATAAAGCACGCCAGAACTTCGACGAATGCAATCAGTAGATATACACTTGGCAGAGCCCCGCAAAGCCACGCCTTGAAAAGGAATCCAGCCTTTACCCGGTGTCCGCCCATGTCCTCAATACGACGAGCAAGATTCAACAAGATTCACAATAATGGCTTTACTCCGCCCGACAACATACAGGCGGTCAATTGCACTCGATGAGTGTAAGACAAGGCCTGCTCTGCGACATTCCGCACATCCGGTTCAGTCCTGAAGCTGCAAGTCCTTTGTGCCAGTTGCCTCGTCTGCTGCCAGAACCTGAGTTGCCCAAGTCCGAAACTTAGTTGGTGCTGCCTCATGGCTCTTGACTCTTAACACATTACAAGTCCATTAGTACGCAGCCATTCTTATGTCGTTTGCCTGATTCTCCGACTTACCATGCAGGTACACATAATACCGCAGACCCATACGGCCGCCACGTTTGATGCTGTTGCCGGCTTAAGCAAGGCTTCCAAACTCCGCGCTAAGCCTCCTACTAGGTTACCGGCTACCTGATGTCGCAACTCAAGACTAGCATCAAATCTCGGAAGATGCTATCGCTTGCAGATAAGCTTTGACCAACAGCGGCTTCTTCCGTTTAGGTCTTAGCCGTCTTAGCCATTGTCACCTGCCAGCACCAGAAGCAACTGAGGAAAGCTCTGCTGCACCGATGAAGTCGTCATCTGTGAATGCGTCCTTGTCCCAAACTCTGAACGCGATACTGGCCACTGGCTTCCAGAACCTTGCCACATAGAGGCTGCAGCACTGGTAAAGGAGCTTGGCAAGGGCGATGCGATAGAGACGCCAGAATTTCTGCCGGTCAGCTTGCTCGGACTGCGACAGCCTGGCATGGCCTTCCTCGGTGTTGAGCTCCGAGCGGCCCCAGTCAAAGATGTGCACCCGAGTTGGAACGCTTTGCGAAGCACGTTGCGGGAATGTTGCACAATCGAAAACAAACATGACCGATGAGCCTGAGTTCGTCAAACAAGCTATGCACACACAGAGTCACAGACACATCTGCATTTGCCATGCGGTGTGTCACACAATGCCGGCCCCCGCCTATCCATTGCTGTGGCACGGGCACCTGCAAGAGCTTTTGGAAGCTGCGAAAGCTGCAATGTCGAGATATCTTACGCACTTGCTGAAGCAACTTCCCAATGTGCGTCCGACAGAGTGCCCGTGTCAAGCTCACGAGACAAGGCACTAAGCACCTTCGCATGGACAAACAAGACAAAGCAAACGCAGATCCCTCACGGAGGGACTCATCAAAAGTCGCAACAGCCTATGACGGTTCGGGGGCTTGTGTAGTGAAGCCTCCCTGCCTTTACGATGGTTGGTTTGCATCAAGCGCATAGTACGGGTGGCGGCGATATGATGCATGTCTGGCCACAGGACGGCGGCGCGGACAGTACGGACATGGTGTGTAGGATCCTGCCTTGCGACATGCCACCACGAGGCCAGCGACCTGCTGAATGCACTGGAGCAAGACCTGCTCCTGCAAAACAGAACAAAATCAAGCAGAGAAAATGTGCTCTCAGACACTTCAAGTCCAGGTAGCACATCCAATCTTGGAAGCTACTTCAGCCAGCAGAAACAATCTTATTTCAAATAGGTGCTCGTAGGATCACAAGTCAACGACAAGTCAACGACCCCAAAGCTCCTGGACTTCGATGGCCCGAAGGCAACGCTCGTTCGGAGGTCCCGGTGCCTGGTCCTGGTGTAAGCAGAAAGTGGAAAGGCGTATATTCTAAAATCTGTTCCAGACCTGCAGAACCCCCGAACGGGTGAGCTAGACTTGTGTAAGCGCCCTTAAACCTCAGGCTTTGCGAACCTGCCTGTGCGAGTGCAGGGTATCCCTGCTGGGCAGGAACGGTGGGGGCAGACGGCAGGGTGGAGCCGTGGCAGAAGAGCTTCTGGAAAGTCTCGCGTGTACTCCGGCGCCTGGATTGTGACGATCCTGTCGCATCAAACAGACATCAGTGTCAGCGGCATCTCCTACTTGGGCCTCGGGAGTTCACCACGGACTCTGTTGTGTCTTCCGAGATCTGCCGGCCCAAATTCTCGGGGGCGTGATGCAAGTCCAGAAAGATGCGGAGGAACTCGTTTGCCTGTCGAGGTATAAAGGTGCGGACTGGCAAGCGGCATGCGGGCAGCTAACCTGCCCTCCGAAAGCCACGAAGGATCAGCAGACCCACGGCCTGCATGCGCTGCAGATTAAAACGGCGCAGTCGCCTCGCGACAGTTGCACATGCATCCAATTCACGATATCCGGCCAATATCACGTAAATACGAAGAGCTCCCGGAAACTGCACATTGAGAGATCCTGGCTGCCAACCTTCTTCCGTGAAACTCGAAGGACCAACACAGAGCCCGTCTAGAAACTAAGAGTCACTATGCTGAGGGACTTCTGTGCGTGCCGAGGAATGTGACTCAGCTGCAGGTGCTCGATGCTTCGAAGAAGTGCCGGAGGATTGTCGAACCCTTCGAGACCTTAGCGGGAATTGCGACACGCTGAGGGACTCATCTTCAATGGAGACTTTTTCTTGAAAAACCATCTCCAGCTGTACACTTCGAGCAGGAAATGAATCGACACATGACATGAGCTCGGGAATTATTGAAAGCTCCTTGGCTATCCTCCTGTTCTATGATGCAAGTCATGGACCAATACCTTGTCTCGGTTCTCTCGACAATTCATTCGAGAGCATGCCGTCCAGTATTTTCGTGGAAATCTTGACGAAGGGGTTCTTGGTTTCGATCACTCCCACAATATGGCAGTCCCACGCAATCATGTGGACTGCAGTGCATTCGCTCTGCAATTACATCGCTCAAGAGACGCGTCCTTTGCACCAAGATCTTGGAGGAATCCGGGAACTCTGCTCAACCGTCGTCTTTACAGCGTGGTCTTTAATTAGCATCTTCTTAGCAACCTCCTGAATGTCCTCGGCTATTCCGCGCGACACGAGCGATGCAGCATCGTCGGTGCTGTTGATCAGTTGGGCTCGTGGTGGCTCAAGACCAACGATTGTCGCGCTTTCAAGGATGACAAGCAGAGCAGCTTGATACTGCAACATTAAGAATTCGAAACTCGCAGGTGCCTCAACCTCGCATCTGACCGTTATATTTCTCGATTTGGCACATCGCCATATACGAAAGCGCATTTCAATCTTCCCGGCTCATCCCAAAGCAGCTGGATACAGAGCTGCGGCGATACATAATCACCGACAGCACTGACAGCACTATGATGACTTTCAACAAATGCGCAGGAACCCATGCGGCGTCAGATCACTTGTGGGTACAGTATTTCTTGTGTCCAGCATGTTTTGATTTGGAGAGGGTGCAGCAGGCGAACGTCCATGTTTGCATGCGAGCAGACAAACCACAGGGAGACAGATGCATTGCCTTTGGTGTGAAGTGCCGCCCTTTTGAGATCATGGCTTCGCCAATGGCGAAACGTAATTCAAGCCGCACTCGAATCTCATCCATTGCTGGTTGTAGCATACAAACGCGGCCAACATGTGATGCACACTTTATGCAATGGCGTAAAGTAGCCACACGTGGGCGGGAGGCCGCGCCTTCTTCATGCAAAAAGCATGTCCGGCTACACACTTCGAGCGAGAATAACGGACCATACTCAGTCCCGCAGTTTTGCTTTCGGCTCCACGTCGTGCAAGCTGCTGACAGGAGCGCCTTGCACTGTGAGCCTCCACCCAAAAGGCCGAAAGGCAGGAAGAAACGGCCAGTTGCCGCCCACACTGGCGTGATCCCTGACTCTCATTTCGGGCTTCGAAGAAGTGCCGGAGGATTGTCGAACCCTTCGAGGCCTAGATGCAACTTGCAACACGCTTCTAGATTCATCTTAATGAAGAATTATTGAAGAGGGATCGCCTTACATGGAACAACATCTGAAGAACTCTCTCCATGACAGGACTGATCCCTGCAGGGTCGAGCTGGTCGAAGCCCCACACACAAAGTCTCCTCAAGAGCACCAGCTCCTGAAGGCTTTCCCGCTTGAGGAGCCAACGGAAGCCTTCTCCAGCAGAGTTCGTGTTCGAGTCCACGGTAATGTTCCTTGCGTGAGATCGGGGGCGTAAAGTGGCAGAAAGCCAGACCAAACAAACCAAGTCGTATATCGAAACGATTGCAGCCCGGGCTCTGGACAAACGCCTTCATGTTGCCCTTGCCCTGCCATCCACCGACCGCAGTGACGTTGCCCATCTTGATGTCAAGCATCCGTGCACTGACCATGCCGTCTCTGCAATTCCGAAGCAACATCCTTGCTGCAAGCACTATACACTACCCAAGTCACTACAAACCATGGGTGAACAGAGCAGATCGTTGACAGGGACACCTATGCAGCTTCGTTTGCTCCACCTCAAAAGGCAACATCGATGACAGGTTGCTTGTGCATTCCGGGCGTGCGTTCCAATGGCTTGGCAGGGCTTTTCTTGGTTCTCAGCTCCCTGAAAACAAAGCAGAAAATTGTGGACACCTACACTTCGTGATGGTTTGATCTTCCGAGAATCAGGTCGACATCTTCGGCGTCCTTGCCGTCTTTTACTGCGCAAGGAGCACGACACACGCCTTAACATCGCCGTTTCAGTGCACGTGGCAAGCAAAGCTGGAAGGCTCGCGCACATGCTGGCAGCTGTGCGATCTTAGGCTCTTACCTCTGTAAGGTGTCATAAAGTTGAGGATCTGCCAGCCGTCTTTGCCCTGTAAAGTCTTGGCAACTTCGTAGAACACCACTTCATCTCGAGCTCGGGCCAAGTCTTTACCGAGCCAGTAATGCTTGCTCTCCTCTCCTTGTGCTCCGTCCTCGTGCACTCGGGAACAGCACCATTGACTTGGAAATTCATTGCCCCGGGATCTCAACGCAATAGACTCTATATGAACGGCATCGACTATTACTATGACACGTCGTACAGGACTAGCGTCACCTGCCCATCGAACTGAACAGTGTGATTTTTGTCACAAGAAAACTGGACTTCGGCGCGAAACCTTTGACACACAAATCAAAAACAACTTGTCTTATCTTTATGCCTTATTTTTTTCTAAACTAACAATTAGACAATAAATATGTACACCCTAGCGCAGAATCCTGGACACGGAACAACACTGAATATTGTGCATGTTCAGCGAAAACCCTAAGATTTCTTGCGTTCGCCGCATTTTCCTAAAGATATGCAACACCGAATAAAGGAAAGTCTTCCATTTCGATACGAATATCAAGAAGACACCAAAGATTGCACACATGTCCAATGAAAAAACCCAAAGGTTTCCCGTAGTTTACATCCTTTCTTCTTACATTCAACAAGAAGTGCGTGAAACGTGGGAAAAATTGAAAACTCCTCAACACAAAAATCCACCGAATGCTCACGTTTACTGGAAAACCTAAATTCTACAACGGTTTGTATGTCGGGCCTCTTTTTCCTAAATTAATCACAAAAGGCGAAACAGTTCAGGTAATCCTAGGATTCAACACAAAAATCCAAAACCCCGGTTATTGTTCATTTTCAATGAACAGCCAAAAACTTCCTATGGTTTGCCTCCGCTCAAATTTTCCTAAACCACAAATTGTTCCCTTTCTTGACATCCACCCAACACGTCATAAGCCACCCTTCTGGAGGTGTGACCCAGGCGAGAAATTCTACGGATTGCCCTGTGTGTGACGTGTCCCACATTCAGCAGGTCAGCCTGATGTCTGAGCAGGGCTCCTGCTGCAAAAGCTCAGTGGCAAAGAAGCTAGCCGTGCCACCAGATCGTCCCAAGGCGCCGCAGGGCGTCTTGAAGAGATTACTCGGGACTGAAGTCACTTGCAATAGTGATGCTTGCGGTCGAATTTTCTTGGCGAAGTAGTTGCAAAAGCGCTCGGCATAGATGTGTGGCGGCATGGTGTCGATCTCATCCACCCAACCAATAGTCAGAGCCTTCAAGAGGTGGGCAACCTTCTTTTTCCAGCCATAGGTTACCAGCATATCAACAAGGCCAAGACAGACCGTACAATCTCGAGTCTCTCCCCAGAGACCCCGGCTTTCCTTCGCTGAGAACACTCGGTGATGCCCAGCCGTCTCTGCCACAGGCACAGGGTCGTCAGGTGGGCAGAGGGCCACAAGCAGTGAGTAGTCCATGATTCCTTGCTCCTGAAGGAAAGCAGTGTCAGCAGCCAAGCAATCGTTGATCATCTTCGCATCTTGCCTGTCCAGAAAAAGCGTGATTGGAGCGAAGTTGTTATCCTTGAGGCAGCCGCCAGTTTTGGGGTCAACCCATCGATCCTCAGGAAGACGGACATTCAAAGGGTCGGTGTGCCAAAGCGTCTGTATGTTTCAGCGGCACGCTTCGAAGCTGCATAATGCTGAGTGTGCTCAACTCATGTCCATTCCGAGGCACTTCGGTGGTTCCTTTGAGGTCGAAGAGAGCCTGAATTTCGCCCAAGCCCGCGAGGACATTGCTCATCACGACAAAGAAGGTATTCTCCCCGTTCAAGTGGAACCGGTACGCCCCATAATATCTGGTAAGGACTGAGTCAGGATTGCCTTCCAAGTGCTCCTACAAGGCACTGCATGTCAAGGAGCATATCGGAAACTTAAGAAGTGCCCTCGTCCAGTGTGTTACAGAAGCAGCTTGCGCAACAGCACTGGCATCCTTGTACTCGGGTAGCATCTTGATCAACTGGCCAACCTCTTGCTCAGAGACCGTTTTCAAAACATATCTGTGATCGCGGGTCCGCCAGAAGATCTCCCCGGACTTGCCAGAAGCTTCGGTCCTAGAGAAGACTAAAGAAGTGCCCAAACAGTCTCTTGCCAGATTTTGAAGGCATTTGCAGGCTAGCCGCTTGCCACCCAAGAGGTTCCCAGAGACCAAGGACTGAAGAAAGTCAGCGTAGCTCACAGAATGAACCTGTAGAAGCGAAGCAAAGAGAGGCGCTGCCAGCACCTCAAACGACGCCAGCTCGCCGCCTGCGAGGTCGTTTGAGTGGGCGCGTAGTTTTTTACATTCCTTTATAGCATCTTTTGCCTTATGAAGAAACCACTTCGTGCGCAGACGGTGCCTGTGTAAAGCCGGAAGCTTGATCTGGGAGTCGACTGATACTGCACTCGCAGCTGCTTCACTTGTCCGGGAGCCGGGTCAACGCCAAACTCCTCCCAAAGGAAGGTCTGTTGGGGCTGGCTTGAGGTCATCTCGTACCTCCAACAAATCCGTCCTCGTTCGAGACAGTGACTTGCTGGCCGCTCAACATCAGCTGTCTCAGCGGGGCGATCCTGGAAAGCCCGCAGGCCCGAAACAGATCGCTGGCTTGGCTACCAAAGCAGAAGGACAGAAAAGGAGCATCCTGCCGCCAAGGGTCACATCAACTACCTTGTCAGAAATGCCGTAGAATGCACATACAAGTCCTGAATAGCCGTGGCTCGCCATGACAATTTAGTTCTTACAGCAAGCAATCTCTACTATGTACACCATAAAGCCAGGCCATGAGCATGCTAGCAATGGCAAGTGTCCCTCAGCGCTACCGGGTGGAAGCTCCAGACCTTCAACAATTGCCGCAGTGATGCACCCTCATCTGCGAGCAAATTTAGAATCATGACACTTGCAGGCCTTGACCTTCTTGCACCACAACTTCCACCAAGTTCGTCGAATGCTTGTACTGGATGCGAAAGACTTTCCTGCCGAACACAAGCGGATACAGTGCGAGGTTGACCTGATCAAGCTGCATCACGTAGCTGCCGCTTGCCCTTCCATATGGCCTGCAGCCGATTTTGGGGTCGAGGCCCATCCTCTCATTGGTCACCGGCACCGCCCTGCCTCGAAAGCGCACGGAATGTGTCCATGCCGGCACGTCCAAGCTGCTCGCCTTGCAGAAGATCTTCGCGAGTCTGATCGGTGACATCAGCCCAGTCCTCGACAGTTTTCTTCAGTCTTAGCCACAGCTGCAGACCAGGTCCGGAAGACAGTCTTCTGCCGTCCTTGAAATCCGTGTCCAGCGTGCCATAACGAGCACAAACCAACTCGGTGATAAAGCCCTCGGGAAAATGAATCCGCTCGAACTCACCGGCCTGCGAATAGGAAGACATGCAGGCTAACAGCAAACCTGCTCTTGGACTCAAAGCTGCTCGCAGCCTCGGCCGTGATGAGCTTCGAATCCAAGAGCTCGTTCGAACGACGAAAGCCATCCTGGAGACATGATGAAAGTACAACGACATCTCCCATATTCGGAATTCAGCTTGGCTACTCGTTCAAGATGCCGCAAAGACTTGCTTCGTGCTCATCTTCGTGCTCATCTGAAACTATCTTCTTAATGCCTTGTTTGACTGGGGCCACGTACTACCGCTTACTCCCGAGATGTCAGGTGGGGCGGAGCCGGTCCTGGATGTAACACTTCAGGTCGTCGGCAGAAGGGCTCGGCATGTGTCATGCCCGCAAAAGCTGCTTGGTAACGAAACTCAGGATGCGAAGATCCCCTATGGATTGGCCGCACTGTGACTTGTTGCTGTTGGGTCTGGCATCAATGCACATCAAGTCTTTTGCTCCGGTAGGATTTACAAGCCCTCGTGGCATAATTGGACCAGACGGCTGCAGATCCCTGCGTCACAATGCATCCTTGAACCCTCGAATTCCCCACGAGACATGAGCACGACTTGCAAGCTGAGCTGCTGCTGGCACTAAGCCGCGCGTTCGCTGGCTTCTGTGTTGCATTGCGCAGGCTGGACTCGCGGCTAGCCTCAATCTCCGGTCCACAGGTCATCGTCGCAATTCGGCGTGCCAACTCTCCCTCTTTAGCTTGGGCTTCGGCTGTGGAGGGTTGCGGGCTCTTTTGCAGCTTGCCTGCATGCGAGTCCCAGCCCATGCAGAAAAAGCTAAACTCCACAACTGTAAGTTGAGCCATTTTGCTCCACCTACACTTTCTCACAGCCCTTGATCAAACTTGCATTCTTGTCCCGGTTTGACCGAAAAATGTCCGACCACTGTTCGCTTGCTTTCCGCCGCTGGTGCCTAACAGACTCTGTGTGCCTTTCGATCCAGCAGACGTGGAGGCATCGTTACTGTTAACAAAGATGCCTGCTCTTATTTGCATTTGCATACTCAGCTTTCCGCGCGACGCGACATCTCTTCACTGGCGATCGTTAGCCTGGCCTGGACGTTCACCAATGGAGGCCCGCTTTGTCCGTGGAGGCGTGGCCAGTGAAACCTGGGACTGCCGCGGAGGTGGCGATCCTGCGTTCGTACACCGCAAATGTAGCGGAAGTTGCGAGCAACAAAACATCAGGACATACTGTCTGCACTTGTCGATGGGGAAACTGAACCAGCATGGCAGCGTCATCGCTGGAAACGTCCTGATTTGCGAACTTCTCCGCCAAGAGATCGCGGAGGTTCCGAAGCCGCACGCCTCAAAAGAAACACCTCACTTCCTGTGCACACGGCCTTCGGACCTAGTCAAAGCTCCCATACATGCTTCTAGCAGCTGTGAAGATGCCGTGCCTCGTTGCCCTTTGCTTGACAGATGAGTGCCTCGGCAAGAATCACGGAAGCTGCCGAACCGGGGTTCGCCGCCTGACCTGGGCCCTAGATGACCTTCGGCTTCGCGAGCCAAGCATCGGCTCCTCCAAGCCATCCACACGAAGGTTCTTGAACTCACCGGAGCTCGCTGCTCCCGGTGATGCGCGGCTCCTTGGAAGTCTCCGGTGATCCGGTGACTGTTCGACTCATTGACTCTTCGACCTTCGGAAAGGCCAAGGGGCAGCTTCTTGCTTTGTGGCTGTGGCTTGCCTTCCGCAAACATGAGGGGCAGCAAATCCAGAGGTGCATGTTGCTGTCGAGTTGCCGAGCACAGAGCTTCGAGGACTCTTTTTCCTTGCTTTATGAGATGCAGGCTTCTAGCACATGAACCGAGGGGCAAGCATCGGCCTTTCAGCAGGTTCTCGCGACGTGACCCACTGCGCCAAACAAATTAGTCAATTCAGCTGTGATTCGCCGGCTGAACGCTGGGCTCCGTCATCCGTCGTGCACCGTTCTTGGACACTGCTGCAGCCTGTGCAGACTCCGCAACGCTGGCCTCAGTCGGAATTAAAGCACGATTCAAACTTGAGGCTAGTGTGCCATTCAGTCCAGATTGCTGTCGTGACTGTGGACTCCGTCGCGCTTGCCTGCTCGAAAAACATGGCAGGTCAGAACCGAATGCAGACTCTAGCAGCTCTGGTACCTCGCTATCAGAAGGCCAGGCTTCCACCGCGAGTCTGTATGTGTCGTTCGCGCCTTGGAATGGCGAGAGTTCATATCAATTCCCTCGGACTCTTGGAAATAAGCTGCTGGCTTAGACTGGCAGCCGACGGAGAGGATTCTGGTGTCCGGTGGGAAGGAACAGTAACATCTCCTGCGCTTGCTGGGGCACTGCACCCAGCACTGGTCCATCACTTCGCTCCTTCCAAAACTGGTGGCAGCTGCCGGTAGGAGCGCGCTGCCCCTGACGCAGGCTTATATGAGATGCCAGATCTACATGCAAACACATGGACAACGGAGCCGCTCCGGGCACGCCTAAGCCATGAATGCTCTGACTGCCGGTGCTGCTCTCTGGAACTGGAGAAAGAGGAGTGGGCCGAGGAGCCGCATCAAGCACGACCATGTGACACAAAACGTCTACGAAAAGTTCCCCTTTCTTATGCAAACTTGAGTTCTTCATAGCATGACGATGCAGGTCGGGACGTCTGTTTGCTAATTCGGGATCGAGATATTGAAGTCGTTCGAACTTGACCTTTACATGGCTACTTTGAGCTAACTAAAGCTTTGGAACAAAAAGCGATGCGGCAGAAGAGTTCAGCTCGTGGCTTTGACCATTCCAATATTGCATCCTGGTGATAGCAGGCAACATGCTTGGCTTTGTGCTGAGAAGTCCTTGGCCGTTTGCTGATTGTTGATCTCATTCCGCGGCAGTTGGTAGGACGCACGCCCTTACCGAAGCAGGGTCACAGGAAGACCTGCCTCCAATGCCCAAAGCCCTCGAGTCCGAGCTCTTTCGATCCTAAGGTTTGGGGCTGATGGCAGGGCTTGGTTCACGCTCTTTGGCGCCGCTCCTTGGAGCGACCCTTCTGTTACGACTGGCGCACTTCCTGAGCCTGACGTGGTACTCGTTTTGAATTCCAGTTCAATGCTGCTAAAATATCCGCCTCAAGCAGCACCTTCTTTCTCTACCCCCTCACCCGACAAGCAGGGCAGAGTCGCTACGAAGGTTTCTCCAATAATTAATTCATCATTGCTGCTGTCCTTGCTCCTCTCTTTCGATCATGAAGCGGAGCAAGGCGTGGCTGTGTCCCACTGGAGGAACATGACCATGAAAACATTTGATTTGCGCTTTTTTGCGTGCCGCATGCGTTCCCGCGAAAAAGCATGGCTCAACTCGAGCGACCTTCCTATGGCACCGGGTCTACGCTGATTGTCGCCCCCACGCCATATTGGCACAGAGACGCATTGCCGATACGGCCACAATGATAAGCCTTTTCTAGGAGGTCGCAGCAGAGATATGCAAAGCTTCACCGCTTTCCCGACACTTTGTTTGGCTAATGCTATGAAGTGTTTCTCTTCCGACAATACGGCCACAGGACGTTCTTAGAACGATTCCTGGCAGGCCCGGCCTGGGGCCTTGGAAGAGTCTGCTACGTCGCCTGCTCTCTGAGAGACAGCCTGGGCCCCTTGCCATGAAGCCACAGGACTGCTAAACCCAAAGCAGCAGCTTCGACCACTCGAAGGCACCGAGCCACAAGGCGCCGCCCAAGCCTGCCAGCATGGAAGCATCAGACACTGCCAGAAGGACATGGCCAAGTTGCGGGGAGCCCGTGCCTGAGTGCAAAGCCCTCGGCAGAGCTCCACGGAAAAGCCCGGACATTCCGTTCTCCTGCAATCTCGCCAGCTGCACAGCTGTCTGAGGGTCATGCCATACTGACATTTTGTGGCCAAAGAAACCTGGATTCCTTGCCTTGGCGATCGAAGACAATTTCTTCCAGCGCAAGAGGCACGGCTACAGGAGCTGGCTAGGTTCGCGTTTGCACCCACCGGCCCCGTCCGAAATTGTATGGAATGTCACATCGCCAGCCATATGACCCTGGAAAGCCTATCGTCGACACCCCCGGCTGATTCACAGAATTGCCTGACAAATAGCACGCATGGTGCACCAGAGACCTAGTCGACGTCCAGGATCTTCCTTGGCAGCTGCAACGCTTGGGGCTGGTGGTGAGGCAAAGAAAAGCTGTTGGATTAATTGCTTATGCAAAGTTGCTGTCAGCATGATCCGAGTTTTCGCTGCGTCCAGTGGCGTGGTCGCCACACCGGCGAAGCCACCAGCTACGGAGCCTAGAGCATGTTCGAGGGATGGTTCCGGACGTGATGACACGTGCGCAAAGCGGTCAACCTACGAGCTCCAAGCGTCAACGAAATACTGCGGTATGCTGTCGCTGCTGGAATCTCTGACAAGCAAACCAAAAGCTGCAACCTTAACCTTGATTTCGCATCCATACGGCCATACTGGCCGACAGCACTTCTGCCGCAGCCAAGCTGCCACAATGCATACCAATCAGGCCTGAACATTGGTCAATAGCAACACGCTGTCCCGAGTATGTGCACCGCGCACTATTTGCAGCCGCGGACACTTGCATGAGCCAGATAACTTCACTGCAACTTAACAAATTCGCTGCCTCTCGGAAACCAGTCCTTGTCTACATCGCTGAACCTACACATCAGCACGGATAGACACCACATAGCGACATCTCGGCTGGGATAGACAACTGTTTATGTCTACGTGAATGCATACATACATCACCAATACATAAATTCAGACATACATGCCTACATACAACAATCTAATAAAATACAATTCACTACAATACAATACGATACACCATAACATAATCCAGTTTGATATGGCACAGTTTATCAGAATATAACATGGTAAATTATTCTAAAATAACACAATATAATATAACATTAACATAACGTGATAAGATATAATATAATACAAAATATTCAAAACATAATATACTACAATGTTATACCATACTATACTATAGCAAATATGATCTAGTAATGTAGCACAGCATAATGTAATAAGGTTTAGGGTAATATGTGCTATTATACAGTATACTTTAATATCTAATCTAAGACGATATAACGCGATATAAAGTATGATGCTAGAGTACAAGATAACGTACTAAATACTACATTATATGATAATAATAAAGTACCAAATACACCATAAAAATACTACAGTCTACTATAAAAAAACACTATACTATGTTATACTGTATTCTCCTGTATCATACTATATTATACAAAACTGCTACATTACATTACGTTACGTTGTATAAGGTCATATCTATCCATTTGTATTATTTTTGCCTATGTATTTACCTATCTATCTACTTGTCTAGGGGATATCATAGCATGTCAGGGGCCCACAATGGCAACCCGCCACCCACCCACAGGGCCGGGCGGGGGGGGGGGGGGGGGGNNGGGGGGGGGGGGCGGGGGTACCATATCGTTGAGGGGGCGGTGGGGCTGGCAAAGGTGCGTCTGTATGCCTGTATGTCCGTACGCCTGCCTCTTATGCACGTCTGTATGTACATATAACGAGTGATAGGACAATTCTCAATCTGCAATAGGGTCACACGCACAATCACGCACACAATGAAGGACCAAAACGCTTCCAGACTGAGCAAGACACGAAATAGAGCATACAGGACCGGATTCGAACGCCAGACTATGCTGCTGGAGGCTAGAGGGGCTCTGAAACTATGTCCGAAAAGCCTTGTCTGTAGTTGTTGCCGTCTTCTTGAGATGTGCGCGCCCATGGGTGGTGATGTTTCAGCTCCTGCAACTGAACATGTAGAGCTCATGAAGAAAGAAGCGCCACAATTGGTGCAGTTGCTGTCTATGCCTGCGGCCGGTCCTCGAAGAGCGGCATCTGGATCAGCGCAAAGGGCACTTCACCTCGGCAAGCAAGCCCGGGCACATGTCCTGGATTGAGGCAGACCGACATTTGAAGCAGATCCAGTGCGAGCTTGGATACGCATGGCTGTGGCTCCAAACCCTGCAAAGAAACCACGCAAACCTTCCGCATGAACCTCAGGTTTTTCTTCGGATGGGCAAAACACCGAAACCTCGGCACTTCACTTCGGGTTGCGGCGGCCGACGACTCAGCTTCTGGCACTGGTGACAGTCTGCGAGAAACTCAAGGAAACACCACTGGGGCCCAAAGCTTGCATTCGTTGCTTGAGCACTTCCTTATCCGACACGCTACGGCTAAAAACCGGAAAATGCTGAGAACAAACTCACAGTCATCGGCTACCAGCACAGACCCGTAGTCGGTACAGTCATCCAATACTGTATCAAGCGAGGCTCACACGGGACTCGCACAATACATGCACTCACATCGGCCACCGATGCAGCAACTGCATCACGAGCTATCGCCAGGGTATTGTCGTGAACTGCTGCCTCAGATCAAGCATACAGACAGGCATATCGCAAATTATGCTGCGTGTCATGTGATGGTACTAGATGATGTGCAACATTCGTGCTGGAATCCGCCGCTCCACGAAGTGCCGTGCAGATTCGTAGATCAGGAAGAATAACCTTGCGACTGCAGATCCTACACGCACGCAGCAAGAAGAAAGAGAGTCTCAAGACCCGGAACGAGAATTTGATATGCTCGATGCTTTGCATTGGGTGCACTGAGACACTGAAAACAGGACGACCAAGAGCCAGGATTTTGGAAGACTGTGTCGAGCTGTGGTTTTCTCCACTTCACTTCCTGCTCACTCTACATTCCGGAATTGAACGATGCCACGACTTGCCGCCCAATCTATCTTGAGCATCCTTGAGCCGTGCCACGCACTGCCAGGCAGTGACACCAGGAGCACTGCACTCAGCCTGAGCACTGAGTGGGGAACGATGGCTGCTGGCTTTGTCGTTGTTCACCACTAGCAGTTGGTCCAGAACCTTCTTAATCATATTCTAGCTACTATAGTTGTGGAATTATACTGGCAGCTGGCTGCCAACAGCCACGGTGCATCTGTCGCACTCCACTGGCTCAGGCTCGCTGCAGAATCAGTTGCAGAACAAGCTGCCCACTCCACAGGTTGCGGTAGCCACCCGAAGCCCAGAACCTCAAATTTACATACTTGCACCTGACATACCAGCACTTGCTGCTTCGTGAAGGGGCGCCTGGGCACTGTAAAGGCATCAGCCAAGACTCCCGTCAGTGGACTGCATTCGTGTTTTGAGAGTGTCCAGCGGATGTAAAGGCACATCAACTGCGACACCTGCCAACCTGGGTTCGACTTGCCAAGGATTTAGCCATTCAACTGTCCATGCATGAGCACAACTAACCCTGAAACATCCTAAATCCTGGCACGTGCGCAGCAACCATCGCGAGCCCAAGCATGCCGTGCGTTCTCAGGCAAGCACAGCCCTGATGAAAAGGACACCATCGCGGGCGGTTCCAGACCCAGCTGCCGATGGCCAGGTGCTGACACTGGCCTCTGCGAACTCAGTACTGCTCGGAGAGCAGTTTCACATTGATACAAGCAAACGGGCATGAGACAGAGCAGAGCAGCTCAGCTTCTGCCGTCGGTGGCTGAAGCATGCCTGGGGCCTGCGAGACTTGACTCACTTGATTGAAATGTCACCAACACCTCCCCGAATGGAACCTAGATGCACGTCTCCGTTAAAAGAGCCTGTGTCGGGCTCACCTGCGGCTGCTTCCTGGAGCCGTCCTCCTCCGTAGAAACCAAACTCTTCCTCGGCAAGCACCCCCTGGACTTGGATGCTTCCGAATCCAACAACCATTGCACAGCTCATTATGCCCGGTGTGGAACGGCGGTATACGTTGGAGAGCCCCACTTACGAGTCCAACAAGGCCGGGCGTCTTAGCGAGTTCGAAGCTCCCAAGAAAAATGAAACCTCCAAGCCCCATCCATGCTGCCCTGCAGGTACAGCCGGCAAAGAAGCCTCTAAACCCACGCTCACTGTAGACCAGCATGGCCTCCTGGCACAGGACATGTGAGTCAAAGGGCCCACGGATCCGGAATCCTTTACTTGTCGAGGCCAAACCGAAATACTCCTCCTGCACCAGATGTGTGGCTTTCTTCTTCGCAGCGCCAGTGCACTGGTCCTCCCGTAAGTTCAACCGTGTGCGCAGCACCTCAGGTCTTCCCCATCCTGGATGCTTGATGCATGCTCGCTTACTTGATGCCATGGCCAATACATACGCAACTTCGTTTGGTGCTAAGCTCGAAGCATCCAAAGGCGTCGAAAGAAACGCAGATACTACTCCAGCTACCTGAACAAAGGCCGAACAGAAGGGAGGTGCCGATCACACCAAGACTTTCTGTCTGACCGAGGTGCCGTCCCGCAAGATGCTGCCTGAAATCTGCGGAAACGAGAACCACTGCGAAGATGCAAGGTAAAAATGAAGAATGCCGCCTGCCAGGTCGGCAATGCATCCTTCGAGACGCCATGAAGATTAGCAGACGCCAGCTTCAAGTACTCCTCGGCTGCAGAAAGTCGAGGAGCCACTGCAACACACAACGACTGCATCTGCACTGTTCTTACAAAGTGATTCGAGCCAAAACTCGTACATTGGAAACTGCAAGCTGCTGTGGGTGACGTCTCGCATCAACGATGCCTCGCATCATTCAAAACCGTTGCGCGAGTGACTAGTGCAGCCCTTGCGCATGGCCCCGTGAGAGTTGTGCCTGAAGCGATGCCACGAAAATTGACGTTTGGGTGCTGCGGACACCCTGGAAAACTGAACTCAATGTTTGTCCACCGCCAGCTTGCTGACGCTGCTTCACCTCACCAGCTCTACGCAACTGTGAAGCACACACACACACACACATTTTGCTTTTGTGTTCTCTGCATGACTTTTTTGATCACTTGTGCACACGCACGAACCGTTGACATACATTTGAACAACTATGATCCAAACGTCGCCTTGATTCCAACTATTTGCAAAGGCGGCACAAGATCGACTGGCACACGCCATACCCCAGCTGCCAACTCTCCGAGGATCGAAGCAACAAGGCCAATGCCGCAATACGCCAAGACCTCTTTGCAATGCGTGAGAAACACAAGCAGTCGCAAACGATAGCAAACAGCACAAACATTACGACCTGAGGAAGCGACAGAATTGCTCCTGTCCTTGCTACAACGGGAAGATAAGTTTTCACGACACATGCAAAATCATGCAAACACCTCTCTTCGGCTGAGGCTCGTATGGCATCAAGCAAGTTTTTGTTGTCCTGATTGCAAACATGAATCTTGCTCTTTGACGACCTTTGGCGCGGCTTCTTGGTCAGCACAACCCAGCACATGGCCGGCAAATCGAAGCTGCTGTTCTTTCACTGTGTGTGCACTTGCATTCCCAGCGGCTCATACGTGGAAAAAAATATTGCGGATGCTGGAGCCGCGGCACCAATGGCCACAAAGACCTGAAAATCCCGAACAGGCAGTAACATGCATGTACGCATTGATCTCACTTGTTCAGAACCCGACTCCGCGGTAAATGCTTCGGAAACCACCGGATGCCTGAGCTGGCAAGGGCAATCTGTGGATGCGATGATGCCCTCGAGGTCACTGCTTGTAGGCATTAGGGGTTTGTGAATCGCATTCGAGTTCGGCCGGTGGGTGCATGCAGCCTTTTTCTTCTGTCGAGCCATGTGTGCTGCGATGCCCCTTCGCATGTACGACCCAGCCGCCCCAACCATGCCCCGCCTCAGGTCCCCAGCGCACTTTGCTTACCGTCACTTACATAAAGAAAAATGTATTGCAGCCAGCATAGTGCCTCCCGCCGTGGATGAACGAGGGGTGCGCATCAGTGCATGGCTCTGATTCCCGGAGCCTTGGTGTTTGCGCACGCGTTCTGATCAAAGTCAGAACAAGCGGTCAAGCTGCAGATTCCTGCACGGGCAACCACGTACACAACCCCGAGCCGGCAAACGATTTCGCTCCGGGGTCGCAAGCCAGCGTGCATCACCCAAGTCAGTCAGTAAGCTCTGCATCACCCAAGACCTCGTGCAAAGCGGGCGTTTTGCCAGCCCGGGGAAAGAGTCGGCTGAGACGTCGAGGAAGGGTGCGGCGAGGGTGCGCTGGAGAGCCATGGCCAGCCTACCGCTCCGTGATCTAATACTTTCCGCCTGGTGTCGTTGAACTGCAATGGCCTTTGGACAAGGAATGGGCGTTTGTGATGGTTTGATGGACTTGTACGGTTCCTTAGTCCATCTGGTTGCAATGTTCTGTTGATCCAAGAATCAAATTCACCCGTTGATACGATCTTGCCTGACAATCAACCGTTCGAGTATGTTGGCCCCCAAAACACGCGCGGTCGTGATGCTGCACTTCTGGTGCATCAGATGACGTCGCCGCTTTGCTCGGCAGTGCCTTTATTGCCTGATCATGCGGACATTTGTTGGCGTGCATTTTCCCACAGACCCGGCCATGCCCCCACAGCCGTTGCAAGCCACTACGCTCCTCATGTTGGCTGCCCAGAGCCTGAGTGTGTAGCTTTTTGGCTATTCGTCTCGCTACAGGAACTTCGCACAACTTACCCGAACATTCATGTTGTACTCGCAGGTTATAGCAATTTGTGGGTCCCTGGCCTTGTAGATGGATGCCCTTTTTTTTTCCAAGGTCTGCGGATCGCTCGTGCGTTGCTCTATTCAATTGTTGAGCACATTCGATCTAACCATTTGCAACCCTCGAAACTCGTCGACGCACCGTGCCGGTGCCGCTCTGGACCTTGTTGTCGCCACCCCAGGGCTTGTCCAAGATATTCAGGTTCATAATTCTGAGGATTGTGGATGTAATGACGTGCTTTGCTGCCTTTTGTTGGGCAGCGACCATTTCACAATCAGCATTGTGCTGATTAAAGTTTCCGTCACCCTCCCAACCAAGGTACCTGCACTCAGTTTTTGTGTCCGGGACTGGCGACGGTTGCTTATCTCACAGTGGCAGGCCATTCACGGCTGGAGTTCCCGCGTTCGTTCTGTAACCCATGATAGTCTACAATCAAGTCTAATTACACTGCTTGCCCGCCAGAATCTTGATGAATTGTACCATGAACTCTTGACCATACTGTGGTCTGCAAATCCCACACAATACCGCCAGCTTTCTCGCAGTGCGAACCGCCAGCCCATGTGGTGGGACGATCAGCGTTTCAATGCTCTCGTTCTTCGCAATGCCGCTTGGCGTGAATGGCGGCGTAACCCTACTTTTGACACACAATGCCACTTCCGTGCAGCTCGAATCCGTTTTCATCGCACCGTCCGTAAGCAAAGAAAAAACTTGTGGTCGTCCTGGTTGAGACAGTTGGACGAACTCCAAGTACGCTGTCCCCGTGCCGCTGCCAAACAAGTCAGGCGCGGGTTTCGACACGAAAGAAGTCGAGTTGCACATTCCTCATCTGGGGAGCATTGCGCATCGGCTTGATGTCGCTTGGCGTGACGGGGCCCTTCTACGTCTGCACCGTGCTGGTGTGTCAGGTCGTCTATGGCCCCTGATTGACGACTTTGTTTCCAACCGCACTGCTGCAGTGTGTATTGCATCTTCTGTCTCTGATCAATGGGGTGTTGAAAACGGTTTGGGCCAAGGAGCTGTGTTCAGCGGTTTCCTTCTTAATGTTCTAATCAATGGCTTGGCTGCCGCGATCAAACGAGCCTGTACTGGTGTCCGCTGCGGCCCCTCTCGTGCAGCCCCTCCTCGCCTTCATGTGTTGCTGTATGCCGATGACATTGCAATCCTAAGCGAAAGCCCTCGTGATCTCCAGCTCGCTTTGGATGCCGCTGCTGAGTGGGCTAAATCCTGGCGTCTTCATTTTGCTGCAGGCCCACAAAAATCCGCCGTCATGTGTTTCGGGCGCGGCCGAGCTCGACTCCCTGAATTCCATGTAGGTGGTTTTCTCACACCTTTTTACCGGCATC